GTATACAATACGACAAATGATGTACCTGCAAATTGGAAGAGTATAAGTAGAGTAAGGAAAAAGCACTGGTATATAACATGTTTAAAGGATTTATGGAACGAAAAACGTTGGTGTTTATATGCGTAACAGTATAAAACAAAATTAATAATAATTGATGAAAGACTCTGAGGTTGTTTATGTTTGGATGTTCAACAGAAATAAGTTTTCACTGTTTATGTATACAGGTGAAGTACAAGCATTTAAGTGTTTCTGATTGGTTCTCCTCGAGATATTCCTATGTTTTTAGGCGCAATTTAAATCTGAATCTTTGCCAATATATAGGTGACCTTGCAGTCACCACAATTATATAAGTAGACGACCCAAAAACACTGGGGGATAGGGATGAGATCCTTGATTTGAAACCTTATGAATTGAAAATGATGATTTGGAAACCATTCGTAATTTAACTTGTGGATAGAAATATTTAAAGGAATTTCTGAATTTAAATTGTTTGTAAGTATGCTTTATTTAGGTTGAATTTAAATTCTAAGACAAAAGGGAGCATCTTTAACTATTTTTATCTCACAATAAAATGTTAGAAATTTTACGGATTAAAAATTTATAGGAAGACTAGGTCAAACTTTATGAATTTTTTAATTAATTTTCTACTAAATTTCATGCAGTTTGGTTAAATATTTCCGCTGTAAGAAGGAAAATATTATTGAATATCGGTTACACCCCTTTCGTCCGGAAAAGGAAAGAAACGGACGACATCTGGAATTGTCAAAAGTGACTCCAACTTTGGGACAGTTGCTTAAAAATCCTAATTGAATGGATTACTCAGCCGAAACATACATTCAGACCACAACTACATTTTATATCTACAGCTGAGAAGAAAAATAATTTAACAACCGCCTTTTATCCGTTTTTCAAATCTTCCCTACAGAAGCAATCTTGATAAAGTAGGAATCAAACACTCAAGATCTACTTATAAACAACAGGTAAACACCATCAACATTTGAGCCCAAAGCAAGGTCATCCAGAAAAATCTATGATTAAGGGGTGGACAAATCCCCAGCAAAAGAACTAAAACTTAAATATTTAGAATTGCCATCACCAGTTTACAGCTGGGGTAGAAAAATTCTGACTTCCTACATATGTATATACCCTCACTCAAATTATGGGTTGTATGTTCATTTGCTGTATAAATACTTAATGTTATAGTTACCAGAAAATTATAAGCTATAATAATTAGATTGCGTTGAATCAACAGTTTCAAGAGTTCTTCACTGTCAGTGATATTTTCGGCTATAAGTAAAAGGCTTAACGTTATCACTTTAACATGTATACTGGTGAGTATTATTTAAAAACTGCACCCAGCTTTGAATTCAAAGAATATGTGCATTTTTTAAGCATATCGGTTCCAAGTGTTTAATCAATAAAGTTTCCTTTATTGTACAGTGTCTGTGTTCATACAAACACAAAAATTCTCAGCACATGTGTGTTTGTATGTTTCTGAAGAAAAATCATAATAGAAAAAAGGTACGATTTACGCAGATGTCGTTTTGTCTATGGTCACCTATTTATATTTTTCAATATTTTGTGAGTGCTTTTTGCATTCTTTATTTTGGACAAAAAATGTCTTCCAACCGATATGTCTATCGAGGATATAACATCTGTATGTATACTGGTAATGCTGACATTGGTGTTCATTAATGACCAAAGTTGGAACAGTTCAATTCGCCCATAATAACAATGAATATGTAGTTATTTTTACTATGCCATAAGCAAAAGGTAGAAGATAAGTTCAGATCTGAAACTCTGGTAAATAAGCATAAGCAGCTATCCAAATTACTAATAAGCACATTGGCTTATTCGAAACATATCGCAGAAAGCTACTCGAGGGCTATCTGCGCTAGGCCTCCCTAACTTCGAATTAATAGGTTAGAAGAAAAGAAGCTAGTCAGTACCATACCGCCTACTGTAATCGAATAGTGGGACGTTACTTTCATTCTAATGATGCACCCACTGCCACAAAGTCCAGATCGTAATTTCTTTTGGTGGTAAGGGTCGCAAATTACGTAGCTCTAAGTCTTCACTCCGGCATGACAGAGACATCAGAGAGAAAGAAGCTATTCTTCTGATAGTTTTCTTTTTGTCTACCCTGCTTAGTTAGTTGTGTAGACCCTCATTTTCATGAAAAAAAAGGGACAGGCGTGGCTTAGTAGTTACCGTGCCAGACTGTGAATCCGAAGTTCCATTGTTCGCCTCCATTTCCGTGAAACCGGATTCCGTGCTTTGGAGTTGTGGATACATTATAAGAATGACGGTGAAATTATACTATTCGATGTGAGTAACTCAAGAATTGGCGGGGGGTGTTCTTGACCAGCTGTCTTCCTTCTAGTCTATCTGCTCAAAATTAGGGACAGCAAGCGTAG